CAATTCGACACCTGAGACGATTCAAGGCTGCCTGCTCAGACAGACTTCCTCCGGAGCTGTTCAAATATGGAGGCACAGTGATCATTCGCCAGCTAACTTCATTGCTCTGCGAAATCTGGCATGAAGAAAAGGTGCTTATTTCCTGGGGCGAGTCAGTTGTTGTCCCGATTTTTAAGAAGGTGCTTGCAATTCATGCACTAATTACCGAAAGTTTAGTCTCATCTCCATTGCTTCCAAGCTTTTCACATTCCTCCTACTCCGTAGACTAATTCCCATTCGAGAATCGCAGTACCGGGAAGAACAAACTGGCTTCCGTCCTGGCCGTGTGTATGTGGATCAAATATTCACACTACGTCAAATCCTGGAACACCGCCACGTTTACCAGAGGTCTACCATCGTTGTGTTCCAGGACATCCGTGCTGCATTCGATTCGCCTGATCGACCTGCGTTGTGGCGTTGCATGCTAAGAAACAGGGTCCCAGAAATGTACACCGCCATCCTACGGGTTCTCAACCACCACGTTTCCGGCAGAGTGAGAGTGTATGGTAGGCTTTCGTCGTCCTTCGCTGTCAATGGCTGTGAACGACAGGGCTGCCCTGTATCTCCGTTCCTCTTCAATTTTTCCGATAGAAAACGTCTTGCCGACAGCTATGGAAGATTGTGAAAATTTTGGTCTGCAACTACTGTTCGGCAAGAGAGCGACTGACTTAGTTTAAGACGATGGCATCGCCCTACTTGGTGATGACTCAAAGAGCATGCAAACCCTGCTAAACCGTTTAGCGATTGAGGCATCTAGGTACGGAATGTGCTTTACCCCATCAAAGCATAAAATGATGCTTCAGGATAGGCCCTTACCCGTTCCCGGGTTCAGTCTTGAAGGTAGACAGCTTGAACAAGTGAAAAGTTTCGTCTAGCTGGGCAGTTGCTTGGCTGTTGGTGGCTCTATTGAGAAGAAATTTTCTCTTCGCATCTCCAAACCTCGGTCAGCGTTTGTCAACCTGCAGCACTTGTGTCCTCGTCGAAATGTTTCCCTATTGGTATTGGATCGCGTGTACGATGTGGAAGTGAGTCGTGGCCAGTTCGCGTTGACGAGGTGCGCCGGCTCACGGATTTTGACGATGGGTACTTGAAGAAAATTGCTCTTATGTGGTGGCACCAAGTTATTTTTAATGGTGAAGTCCGACATCGTGTCTTAGGGGATACAAGTATTCCCTTCAACAAGCTGGTTTTGCTGTGCCAGTTAAGATAGCTCGGTCATGTCCCACGTATATCAGCTGAGCGTTTGCCCTATCGGGCTCTGTTTGCTCGTGCAGGGCTTGGCTGGAAGAGACCGCGTGGTGGTCCATCATCCACCTGGTGACAGCAAATGAAATCGTTGACTTCACGTCTTGCCACCGTCGGATCCACACGTCTGGCTGGTTGAGGACCAAAGGACGAAGAGTGTTGATGACTAGAAACAATTCAGAATATGGCTCGTAATCGAAACCAGTGGAGGATCTGTGTACGTAGTTGTTTAGATTTGGATGCTTAATGTTTAAAGATTGAAAATGACAAAATTCGTGTGAATAATAACAAAAACAGTTTCGTTCTTACGTCCCTATTACTGAAATGTGTTGCTCACCTTCAGCTAATGCGCCATGATGATGCGTTGATTAAAGCTGTATTCCTCATATGATTTCCATAGTTTTTTGGCTCTTTGTCTATTCATTAGACTGTTGCTAGTACATACATACTGCTTAGTTATTAGGCGACGGAACTTACCAATTCGCCTTTCCTTCGATTCCAGCCCTGGATTCAACTAAACTTCGGAAGCCTTTTTGGAATGTTGGTGGTAGTCAGGAGACGTTACGGGGGTGGATAGGTTTAGGATCAATCGGCATGCGTTGAGACAGATATCAGTTAATTGTTTGGTAGTTAACTAAGGTTAATGTCTTAAAAAGCATTTGTATGCATTGAACACAATCCTTGCGGAAGTGTCGGTACTGTCCGGATGTTTCACTATGACGGATGAGAGGATTAGATTTTTCACAAGACTTCTCTTGCTTAGAGCACGTGTTTGTCCTAATTCGCTTTAACCCCTTTCAATCGAACAACTTCGCTTGAAGTTTTAGGACACAAGGTCTACAGCTGGATTCGAAATCGTGGTATAAAATGGAGGGACAGTACTCCTGTGTGGCCAGCGATCTTAATCAGGACACTCTAACGAGCACCGATGCACGGATGAGGTTGGAACTTGCAACCCGTCTCCCCATCGTCATCACTATGAACTTATCTGTCAATACGACGATGAACAAGCAAACACCTGAGCTGGATGGTTTCGGGCACGCTCTCTCCCATCGCTGTACTCCACGATGCCTTCCCTACTTGTTTTGACTCATTAAGTACAGGTAGCCTGGTTTTGGAGCGGAACTCAACACTTAATGGTTGACGGATATCGCCAAGATCACTAGGTTATTGAGCCACCACTGTGACTGTACCAATTGAAGTGACAACTCATATTGCGGATGCAGTAAGCATTTGGCTCATGTGACTGATATCGCGATTATCGTACCTGTTCGTTATAAAATGCTGCTACAATTCCACACCGATTCACCTGGCAGTAAGCTTTTGATTCAAAAGGGAAACGCTGCATAATAAACAGTACAACCAATTGTTTCTAAACCTCCGTGCGCTATTGTAACTACAGTGGAACCCGTGTTATTGCCCACCCGGTTTATAGCTCACCCAGTTTAATGGCCCAGTATCACAAAATGCAAATTCTTTTTCATAAATATGCTCAAGTTTCACCGTCTAACCGCCCATGGCTGGAGTCGTCCTACCGCTCAATTGCCCAGCTGCGTGTGCTGTGCTCTTATGTTTTGTCAATTTTCCACTCTCGCTCTGACTAACTTTATTATAATTGCCCCACAGCTAGCCAATCCATTCGAGTCAAGAACAACTAAGATGTCGGCGATGTTATTGACAGATCGGAAAAGGTTATCTATGCCATTCAATACACGAGAAAGCTAAATGTAGGGACGGCTGTGAAAAAGCCTTAGGCCGTATTAAAAACTCAAGAGGTGAGTATAGTCGGGTAATCTATCCGCTACACACATGTCAATACTCTATTGGTTATACACAAGTATGGCCAGTAACAGAAAGGATTTGTCCTTGACAGAAAAGTTAAACATTTTGGACAAAATTAAAACCCATTCACCAGGAACCTCGCAGGCCAAATTGTCAAGTGAAGTACACGTTTATTGTCGTACCCTAGCCAGGTTGCTTGCCAGCAAAAACGAACTCCGGCAGAATTTGTCGCATGGCACTGCATGCTCTCAGAAAAGGAAGCGATTTGGAAAGGATGAAGAACTTGTATGTGCATTGAGAGACTGGATGATATCGGTTCGTGAGCGCAACCAAACCGTTACAGGCCTGCTCCTGAAGAAAAAGGCAAAAGAATTCGGGGAAAGACTTGGAAAATTCTTTGCTGCCACAGAAGAATGGTTGCAACGATGGAAGAATGGCAAACAAATTGTGTATAAAACGTGCACAAGGCGAAAAGTGCTCTGTGTACAGAGCAGTCTGTGAAAATAAGGCTGGAATTTCGACTGCCTGAAGTTTGAAATGTATTTGATGATGACAACGTTTACAATGCAGACGAAACAGGGCTATTTTACCCAGCAACTCCAGATGGCTCTTCGTGTTTTTCTGCCGACAGGCTCAGCGGATCGAAAAAGTCATGGATAGGATCACTCTCCTGTGCTGCGCGATGTCAGGCACGAAAAAAACTGGTTTTGATCGGAAAAATTGAGAAACCACCACGTTTTAATGGCGTGAACGTGAACACAATTTCCGTAACTTACAGAGTTAACAGAAATGCATGGATGACGAAAGCACTTTTCACCTAGTGGGTTCTCGAATGTGACAAGGAGCTAGGCCAAGGTGGCCGAAAAGTCATGTTGCTCTTGGATAATTGCCAGGCGCATCCACAGGTAGAAGGCCTGAAAATATTCAGATAGCATTTTTGCAGGCAAACACGATCAGCATTCCTCAACCCATAGACCAAAATGTGATTATGGATCTGAAAATCCGTTACAGAAAGGAAATTGTGGACCAAATTCACTATCACATCGAAAACAGCGTGTTATATGGCTCATCATCGGCGGTGGATGCCAACACCAAGATTTATGTGTTCGATGTAATTCAGTTCATTACAAGAAGTTGGAATCAGGTTACAGATGCAAAATTAAAAGCTTGCTTTCGGCATGCTGGCTTCAGTCGACTGGCATCCGATGCAGTTTCTGATGACGCCGTCAACGCCGAGGACAAGATCAGCGCTAGCACAATCCCAGCCCTCAATGCAAAGGATTTCGTCACCGTTGACAACGATATGGAATGTACCTCAGATCTATCAAATGTTGACAGTGAAATCGTCAATAAGATTTTAAAGAACCAACAAGAACAGGAAGTAAGTAGTGCATCAGAGAATGACGTGCCGGATGCCTCCGTGAGTAGTAGCAATCAGCGCGTGTCGCATTCAAGAGAAGAGAACTGTGCGAATGATCACTATATCTACGCACTTTTGCATGGGCTACGCAACGATGTCTTGTCTAAATTGGAGTTCATCAGTGCAAAAGTGACTGGAGTACCAGTACAAAATACTGATGTTGGATTGTTTCCTCAGTAAAACTATAATGTAGCGTCAGTTTCTATGACCATCCAGGTAAGATGCTTTATGTTATAACATTTAAATTATAGGGCATGCTCTTCTAAATAAAGGCTTTTGTAGGCTTTAGTTAAAAGTACATATTTTACCTTTCTTAGTACGTTACAATCCGTGATATGCTGTACACAAATTCAGTGGTTGTTGCACTTTTGAGAAAAATGACAATATCGCTTATTGCCCACCCTACTCTGTTGCCCATTTTTTCAATATCCCCATGGTGGGCAATAAAACGGGTTCGACTGTATTTTCACAGATGGACTGAATAAGCTACCTGTGCATTTTTTGTGACTTTCAGGTAGCACAACAATGTTCCGCTCATACGGCGCTGCATCAGCCGTCGTTTTGGTCATTTTCCTGTTGCTGAATTACGTTATTCCGGTTCCAACTGGCCGTACGGAGAGTGCAGACATCAAGAACGATGCTGCTCGTGAAGGCGACGTGATTGCTTATGGCCAAGTGGCAAACTCTACCGCATACAATGGATCAGGCAAGTCGACTCAGATTAAATTGCTCATTGTCACTTGGTCAACTTTCCCTAGTGCTTTATTCTTATGAGCTCAGTGAAATACTGCCTCTTGCACTGTGCATACGTTAAGAGAGCCTTGTTATCCTTAACTAGCTGAGCGTATTCGAAAAGGTAAATGAGCTTGACGGGATCCACGAGCACGCCTGATACGTGCAGTCGGGTTGAACGTGCTTGGCACCTGGGTAATAAAGGGCAAATGAAGCTTAACCATAATATCCTGATTAAATCCTGAAAAACCCGATAATCCTGCTTTATAGCTTACATATTTTCCTCTTCGTAAATAAGTGAATAAACAATACGTTTCCCGACTGCAAAACGCTGAGGTCTCGCAGGGCCAGATCCAGAACTTTACAATGGGTTCATGTTGTCGTATGGGAACATGTGAATACGTTCAAATGCAGATGTCAACAGGTAGTGGGCTTTGGGGCAATATAAGAATATAAATATGCTGGAATTTCTCCTGGGTCCTGTAGTATTCGTCTTGGCTAAGTCGATTCCTGTAAAGTTTTCAAGTACTCATGTACTGTCGATAGCTATCACAGATATCGAGACTGAGACTGAGACTGTATTTAAGAACAAGTAGAAAGGTTTCTGTACAACTCTATCGAATTACGAAAAATCAAAATTTACTTGTGAATTATCAGCAGTTGTGTCTGGTCCGTCAATCGTTTATCCGTGTTCGGTTAGAAATTTGTACTAGCGTCATTATTTCCGGACATACAATGTCTTCTTTTGGCACTGTATGTGCATCGTTTCACAAAAGCACAGGTTTCCAAAATAATCGTCGATACGGGTTTTAAAACACTTCACAGAATCGGCCTCTATTAATCCTTCAGGTAGTGTATTCCATAAGTTTACGATTCTTCATTCGATACAAAGCTGATGTGATACTTTGTTCATGCTGGGGACCCTGAGTTTGTAACGATGTCCTCGGGTGTTACAGGGTTCTCGCACGTGAAATATTGGCCGCAGTATGGGGAAGTGATTCAAGTGTAGTACTCGATGGGTCATAATAAGATCAATTCTTACTCGGCGATGGGATAGTGTGTAGAGTCCGAGCCTTTCACAACGTTTTTCATACGGAAGCTTTCGTAGACTTGGTATCATTCTAGTTGCGATATGCTGTATTTTCTCCAATTTTTCAGTTTCCCACTGGGTTATCGGATGGTAAGCTGGGGCACCGTATTCAAGGATTGGTCTAATGAGCGAGGTGAATAGACGAGGGACGGTTTCTTCGGACCATGTGGAGAAACTGCGTTTTAATGCCCAGAGCATACGAAGTCCCGCACGGTACAATTTCTCTGTATTTTCTAGTGATCTTAAATCATATCGTTAGAGAACTCCTAAGTCTCTGACAGATGTGTTGGGATGGAGCAACTGGCCGTCCAAGGTGTATGATCGAGTGGCTGGACGTCCTTAATATATTTCACGGAAAAAGTGACTGAATGTAACTGAAAGGAAACATGGAGCATAACGATTACATCGGTATGCAAAGTAAATGCAGTAACTATCTTAGCTCTTTTAGAGGTTCTAGAGTATCCTTAAACGGGACACTGCAGCTAAAGCGCGGTTAAAGACGCAAGGTGTATCTGAAACAACACGTTTCCTCATCACTTTACAGTGTCAGATGAGTAATACTAGACACCGAGTAAGCGCATACTGGGACTAGTGCGATGAGGATCGGGATACAGAATGTGGTTATAGCTGGTGGTTTGAACGAAGCTGACCAATAAGTTGTAGGTAGGCGCGAAGCTAATCTGTCGCTGCTGACGCATAGTGATCACCCGCTGATGGTACGTAGAAGAAATCAGAATCTACTAAGAGAATGAGGAACCAGGCATAACCTTTTCATGAGCGACGGCGAAGCGGACTGTCAGGAACAGAAGCGAGCAGACCAAGCGCATGCACTAGCCAGGCAGACAAATGACAGCTGATGTGCCCAATCATAAATCGAGTGGGAACGATGCTATATGTCATGATCTACCACTAGGTGATTCCGGTCAAACTGAACTCCTTCTCTGCTAACTCCGAATCCCAGCCGGAAATCAGAAGACAAAACTAGGAGACAAAGGTTTGTTGCAGAACCGGCTATCGAAACGGATATTTTTATAAGTCAAGCAAGGAAGATTCACGTAGCAGTACAGCTAGGCAGTTGTCCTGATTAGTAGATAAATTCCGCTAGCCAGTGATAAGATTGGTGCGCTTGTCGTATGGGCATGAACGTTCTTGAAGCGAACGCTTTTGAAAGCACTTAATCTTTCAGTTGTATACCAATGGGTCAGCTTGTTTTCCCGTCGAATTGATAAGTTTTCCTGGAAGAGTTTACTCTTCACGACATCATCCCTCTTGAGATGGCGGCTGCAGTGTAGGACTTGAAGCATTAAGGACGGTGTTCTCCGTCTGTACGTCCATGGTCTGGGTTGAAGTGTTCTTGGAGTTGGATCTGGACTACTGAATGAATCGTTCGATTGGCTGTGGCTCATCCTGCCTGGTTTCGGTAAGTTGAAATGATCCACAAAGATGTCAGTAGGTAAAGTTGAATTTAGAGAACACCCTGTGTGGTTGGGTTGCGACTCGCAACCTTTGTTGTGACATCGGTTCACTCTGAAGTAAAGCTCGGTCATGCCGATCATGAGGACCGCATCCAGAATGGAAATATTAGGGTGTTGCTCCTCACAACACTGGCATAGCACGACCGCTGTTTCGTCCTGGTATGGGCTCTTCTGGTGGAGATAGCTTGTGCTGGGGTGGAACTCACAGCCTAGTAGTTCATGGTTGACGCTCTGAACCCTATGCTACTGAGATCCGCGGGCAACGCTTGGCACAGCGGAAAGCAACTCAAAGTTTCATTTAGGGAACACGCTGTGTGGTTGGGTTGCGACTCGTTACCTCTATGGATTTAAGTAGCATAGTGTTCAGGGCGCCAACCGTAACCTACTAGTCTCTGAGTTACGCCACATCTCATGCCATCTTCACCTGATGAGTCCAAACTAGGACGAAACCGCGTTCGTGGTGTGCCAGGGTTGGGAGGAGCAACACCCAAATATTTCCATGTTGAGAGGCAGTTCGGTGAACTTCCTCGTCTCTGGTCGACACAGCGTTGAGCGTAGCTGATTTGCATGACGGACTCAGGTTTGCGATCCAATGAACACATCGTAAATTACATTTCCACGTTTATATTTGATCTCACATGGAGTCCATGCTGCAAGGCCTTTCTGGTAGTCGCGTGCGAGCCCTAAGTCTCCGGGTTTGAATGGACGTCGGTTTGCTCCATGTCACCAATTGAATTCCTCTCCATTGTTCGGTTCCTTCCGCTGTATGAGGACTTAGGAGCTGGTCGAAGTGTATGGAATAGGTTGCGGAGCTTTTTGCTCATCACTTCTGCTGGGGACACTCCGTTGGGTGCTTGTGGCTTCGGTGTATAACAGTTACAAATCAAGTTAGAAGGACACCAACGTGTTCCAACCTCACGATGCAGTCGATTCCGAGAAGGTTTATATTCAGTCGATCCGTCAGGTAGCATGCTCCGGTCTTTTGCACGCCATTAAAAACGATTTCGCAGATAAATTCTCCAATCAGATTCAGCACTTAGCCAGATGCTTTTTGAGCCATTTCCTCAGAGGCAGCAACCTCCGGCCACTTGATGTGGTTCCGAGTATTCTTGGAAATGATGGTTATATCGGTGGCCGTGTCAAGCTGCAGCTGCGAAGGAATCCCATTGAAAAGTAAGGTAATGAAACCTCTTTGTCCATGCAACACAGCTGATCGCCGTCACTGAGGAACGCTTGCACCATCTCCAACGATACACTGAGGAGGATGAATTGTGTAGACTACTGAAGCACACGATCATGAACGGATGGCCCGAAGACAAGAAAAGGTTACCAACGGATCTGACTCCATTTTCCATTTTCGTGACGAACTCATTACTCAGGATGGATTAATATTCAAAGGCAACAGGATAGTGGTTCCAAAGGCACTGCAGGGTTCGATGCTGGAGCTGACACATTGTGTACATTTAGGAACCAACAACTGCGTGGCAAGAGCTAGAGAGTTGTTGTTCTGGCCCGGAATAACCAGCCAATTACGTGACTACGTCTCCAATTGTGTAGCATGCAGAGCACACGACGTACGCCAGCCAAAAGAACCGATGATGTTACTTGACATTCCTGATAGACCCTGGCATATGGTTGCACTAGACATTTTTTCTCACGATGGAAGGAACTATTTGATTGTGGTAGATAACTTTGGTGACTACTTCGAGATCGATGCGATTACGATGACTAGTACGCAATCCGTGGTGAACAAGTTGCAGTGCCAATTCGCTCGGCATGGAATACCCGAGGTGGTGATTACAGACAACAGGCCGCGATTTAAAAGTGCAGAGTTTCGTGCATTTAGCAAGAAGTGGGACTTTCGTCACCGGCTAACCAGCCCATACCATGGCCGCTCAAACGGTAAGCCTGAGTAAACAGTGAAGGAGGCGAAGCAAGTGCTTACAAAAGCCAAAGAGACCCAGCAAGCTCCGTAGATAATGCTACTGGACCGAAGGAGTACAACGTCTACTGATATCGGAGCGAGCCCTGCACAGCATCTGTTCAGTCGCCGAACAAGAACGCTAATACCGACCGCTACAACTCTACTGCAGCCCGAGATGGCTCCATCCGAGGTCCTACACGACCGACCAAGGAACAGAATGCTAAGGCAAAAAAGTACTATGATGGCGGATCAAAAAGCCTCTCACCACTAGGTACAGGAGAAGAAGTATGGGTTCAGGCGTTACCGGAATCCGGTGGATGCTGGCGGAAAGGAGTGCTCGAAGGCCGGAAAAGAGCAAGGAGCAATGAAGTCAAGGTTGGGAGCAATCTCATTCGACGGAACCGGGTGCAATTGAGAAGAGTGCGTCAGAAGTGGAACCACAGAGAGTGGGTCAGCAACAACAACCGGAGAGGAATACTGCTACCCAAGCCCAGGACCTTAAACGCACACGTAGTGGTAGACAATAGGGAACATATAGTAACGCCACCCTAAA